GGGGAGGGGATTTTTTTCTTGAAGGATGGGATGCATAAATGTCACATGTTAATGACGTAACGTAATCCTCGGTACATACCCATATGATCTCTGTGTCATCATTCTGAATTCATTGTCCTAGTGGTCAACAGCGTATTATTGAACATGGAGGAATTTTTGTCGAAACGAGTTTTTCTCAAGTGTTTAACCGTTTTTATATCTATCATCCTACATCAATCCACTGGTAAGTTTCCATCATTACTACATAATGGTATTAAAAGTAAAAAGTTAAAACTTTTAAAAGCATTTTCAATATAAAACAAGCTCAAACTCATCCATCACAAAAACAAACAATAACCTCGAGCACRAACCTAAAACACTCTTGGCTTAATATAAAATTGTTTTACGGGTACTGACTAATTCCAGGCTTTAAATCTAGCATTGCTCATTTATTTCAATCAAAAACTGTGACAGAATTAAAACTAGAGCTGTTGTTGTTGAAAAATCAAAATTTTAGCAAACGTGACATCACTACTTCCTGGAAAAAAATAACCAATTTAAGGCAGGAAATAATTGAAGTTTACTCCGAATGAGATCAATTATATTCTTTTTGGTTCAAAATCAAASTTGTAACTTCTAGAATTATTGACTATAGTATCCAGTTTWTTCATAAGGCTTCTTCAAAATTCCMATCTCATGGCAACCGTCCAAGCAGCCTTCAAGGTTTTGCTCAAAAAGCTTTTGAGAATCAATGCAGACATTCACCCGGAAATTTCCAATCGCGTTCGTATTTTGACATTTCTATGTCGATATCGAAACAGTTTTGTTTGTTAGGCTAAGTCTTTTCGACCCTTAAAGTGCAAATGAACCCTTCGACAATACTTTCAGTACTGATTCTACATGAAGTAATAGTTGAATGGTATAAAATATTTCTTGATTTGAGTGTTGCGTTTTTAAGTTATGACTGTTTATACTTCCAATATGCTAATGAGTGTGACGTCTATTAAGGCTTACTTAAATACAGTCAATTCAAAAAATGTTGTCGTCGACCAACTCAAGCCTACGCGACTGGACCTAAAGGAATTCTGGGTAGTAATCATTGAAGCCGAGCTGACTCCATAATTTTATCTGACTAGTTATGCCTAATTTTCAGCACGAACCTTCGTAGGCGAGCGGGAAGCGTTGAAGGAGACGTTTTTTTAATGCCTTCATATTTTCGAAATTGTTAACTGAATCATTAGTACTTTGTTTTTGTTTCCCTAAACCCAAAGACATGCATTTGATGGATTGTTTCTCGCCATTATTATCTTATTACTAGCGGGAACAATTTATT